TAATATTCATATTAAGACTTTTGTCATATTTAATTGAAAACTATTTTTTAATTTAAATGAAAAATCATAACATTTTTGCTATGATTTATTTTACATATAACCTTTATATATATATTTTTAACATTTTATATTTATATTTTATATTCTACATTTTCTTTTGTATATTTTACATTTTTTTAATTTTTAAATATTTTATATGTATATTAATTATAGTGCTTTAGGTATATATATTATGATATTCTATGTTTTAAAAAAATTGTTTACATGTTTTGATTAAATTTTAGTTTAGAATTATTTTTATTTTTTTTTAAATATTTTTTTAAAAAATATTTTATATATTTTTAACATTTTATATTTATATTTTCTTTTTTTATTTCCCATTTTTTTTAATTTTTAAACATTTAATATGTATATGAATTATAGTGCTGTATGTATATATATTATAATATATTATATATAAAAAAAATTGTTTACGAGTTTTAATTAAAATGTGCGGTATATTCTTTTTATTTTTTTTTAAATATTTTTTTAAAAAATATTTTATATATTTTTAACATTTTATATTTATATTTTATAGTTCACATTTTCTTTTATTTATTTTCCATTTTTTTGATTTTCAAATATTTAATATGTATATGAATTATAGTGCGTTATGTATATATATTATAATATTTTATATTTAAAAAAAAATTGTTTACGAGTTTTGATTAAAATGTGGTTTATATTATTTTTTTTTTTTTCAAATATTTTTTTAAAAAACATTGTAAAAAATATTTTTCTAAACTTGTAATATGCGTATTAAACCTATGGACGTACCCATTATTTGTGACTACAAATTGTTTACTCAACTAACAGAAGTCATAACAAAACTAAACAAATAATTTTTAAACAAATTTGCGTAAAAATTGTATATATTAAATAAATTTAAATAGAAAGTAAAACAAAAATTAAACAAACTTGTCTGTTATTATTTTTTTAAGCTGTTTAAAGTTGAGCCTTTTTTTATCTTTTGTTTACGAAAGTGTTTTAAAAAATCTTTGATTATTTAAGTTAAAAACGTATATTCTTATATTTTTTTTTTATTTGCTAATATTATTGTTCCACATTCAAACTGTGTATATAAAACTCATAAGTTTTTAGCATTAACAATATGCCAACATATTTTTCCTAAAACCAATATTTATATTAACTATAGTAGATCCTTTTTGTTTACAAAAAACAACTTAACGAATATAGAAAAGATCTATTTTCGTTAATCGCACACGCTTTTAAATAATCCTATTGTTTTAAAAATAAAAAATATAAATGTAAACATTCAATTTTAAATTCAAATGAATTATGAAAAAAATATGTCACTTTTAATTTTAAAATATTGCAAATTATTTTGAATTTTTTTTGAAGTCTTATAAACTTTTTTCGAAGTCACCCTAAACAACTTATAATAAGTGTAAATAGCAATTTTTTTTATATACAAAATACATCAATTTGTATATAAATATGTATGTAATACATATTCTGATTTATATTATTTTCTAGAATTTTATTTAAGTGAACCCTTTCCGAAAATCTAATACTGACACCTCTATTCTTTTTTATTGTCATAGTTATTTTTAAAAGTTTATAGATTGCAAGCGTTCCATCATTAAAATTTTAGGTTAATTTTAATATGGAATAATAAAAACAAATATATATCAGAGTTATATAGTTATTATCTTCAGATTATATTGTCAGCGGACGATCTATCTTATTGGTTACCAACCGGTGGTCCGCGAGATGGTTAAAAATGGTCCGTGAATCATATTTAACAGGTATGGATACATAGCTTGTAGTTTGTCCATTGAGATCTCACTTATTAGAAAATAAGCAGTTTTACAATTTATTATACATTATACCAGAGATGCATAAAGCATATTAAAATAATCAGACAGTTTATTATTCTTAAATTTTGTAGTCCCTTATAAAAACAATAACGTCCACAACCCAATCCGTAGAGACTGCCGATGTCTTTACTTTAATGGATGATACCTTCAAAAAGAATTGACATAGTCATGGATATACAGACATTGATTTATTAAAGAAGAATTTCAAAATGTAAGTATTTAAGAGTTAAACAAAAGATATTAAGCTTTTGATAATTAAACTATTTTGTTATATGTACATTTCTTTAACGGAAGGCCTGATGTCAACACGTTTTCGAAGTTTTTAAACATTTTTTTGCAATTATGTATAAAGTAATATTTTTTAAATATCTTTTATAGTTTTCTAAAGTAAAAAACAATAACTAACTCATTAATTATAATATTGTAATATATGTGATAATGATTGTTGTAATTTTGTAATTTAAAGCCAGAGTCGGTAAGAGTCTGGAACACCGGTATCATGACGATGGTATTAACGGCCCATGATGGTTTCACTCGTTTCACCACAAAAAAAAAGTCAGAGTAAATTAATTGAACTTATATGTGAATGAATTCTAATGTTAACAAGCAAAGTATCCCAAGCTCATTAGAAATACAGGACTGCCATTAACCATGTTATAATAATATATGCTAAATGAATATGTAAATCAACTTAATAGTTTTTAAAATTTCCAATACCGATAATGTTAGTAATGAATTTATATTTGAAATTACTGATAATGGTAATAATGAATTACTATTTGAATTCCTATTCCTATTGAAATATATCAATATCTTTTTGAATACCTTTAAGGAATTATTTTATTTTCGTATGAATTTTATTTAATTAATTTTTATTATTATACAAATTGAAAAAATATTCATTAAATAGTAAATACATTCAACACTGCGTATGAGTAATTATCGTAAAGATTTAAATATAAGATATGATGTTTATGATGTTTGTAAGTTAATTGTGTCCCATAAATATGTTAAATGAGAAATAATTGTATGCAAAAAGTATTATATATGTTAATTAGGTACCAAAAGTGATAATGTCATGAACATTGATTAATTATTTAATATATTCTATTGATCTTTATTATATAAATGTTTGTTGTTTTTAACCTACTTAAAATTTAATACATTTATTATTTGCTTAATATCATATATGCATAAAGTGAAGTACGTTTTATACGCGTATGTTGTGATGTTTTGTAAATTTACTTGTTAAAATGCATTTAAGAGATTGTTAAGTGCTAAATTATTCAGAAATAAGTATAATGCAAATGCAAAATTTAAAAATTGATAATTAACATAAGGTCTTATTAAGATTTGGATACTTGAATAAAACGATAAAATACTTTTAGAGAACTTGTTCATTTTACAATTCTCTAATTAAATTTAAAAAGTGTTATAAAGTACATTACAATTTTATATACGATTTTTTTATTATATATAGTACATTATCTTGAAGTAATATGATGAAATGAAAAAATTTAAAAAAATAATAAAATGATTTTGTTACCAATTATGTTGTGTTTTATTACATGCAATTATGACCCATCACTAGTTAGTTAGAATATTGATTTCGGAAGTTTTACAAAGTTCTTATATATAATTGATTGCTTAAAGTGCTACAGATTGCGCTTAGATTAGAAAGACACGTATTATAGAATCTCTCTAGAAAATTATGAGTGTAGACATCTTAGTATGGCTAAGGCAAAAGCCAGTCTACGATAGGTGTTTCATTGCTTCACTCTTCAATCTAACTCTATCTATTAGAAGTGACATATCTATAAGTACACCATGACTTATAACATACATTATGCTATGAACTTAAACTAATGTTTGAAATTTTATGTTTTATATTTTATGTTAATAAATACAAATACAAATTATTAAAATAATAATATTGACAAGAAACAATAATATAAACATTTTTTTTGATTTTCAATTTTAAGTTAATTAATTTAAATGATCACATTTGAATTATTAGACATTTTAATTAGAAGACTATTGATATATTATACAAATTTAAAAAAAATAAAAAGAATTATTTATATTGAAATTACTTCTCTATTTTATATAAAAAATAGTAACAACGAAATAATTAAAATTATTTAGCTATATTTAAAATTATATCTAGAATAAAATATACATTGAGTTTCTCTGTAATATTATTTCCGGTATTTAATCATAAGTTTATTTGATGACTTTAGATGGTTTAATTGATTTAAATATAACTTTAAATGAAAAAATAAATGTTTTATCATATTAAACTTTCTTAATTTATGTTTAAAAAAATTCATAAACAATCATTAAAATATTTTTATATGTGATTTTAAAATATAATTTCATTCAAATAAAATATATGTAAGCTTGTCAGCTTGAAAATTTGATAAAAATACATATATCCTTAATGTTATTATATCATATATCCTACAGCTGACTTACATTACACTACATACATAATCGTATTAAATTTGTTTTTAAAATATTTTTTAATTAAAATATAATTGTAATGATATTTTGTTTATAAATAAAATTTTTTATGCAAATTTAATGCAAAATATACGTACACATTTTATTCATAAAAAATATATTGGTTAAGCATTTTTTGTATAAACAAAAAACAAGTTTATACAAAATGCATTTTTAATGTTCTTAATATTTAGCATAAACAAAATCTTGGTTTTATTTTTAAATTTAATATTAATTAATAAAGTGACGCAATATTCTTAAAATTAGCTCATAAATATTTGCATATAAAATTTGTATTTCACTTGCAGTTTATAGCACTTAACGGTGTATTTAAATCTGAATATATAATTTATTTTAAATTTCACTGATGCAAATCAGATGCACTCAACGCAGATTATATTACTTTATATTTATTTAATAAAATTTTTTCTTTATTTTTCTCTTTAAGCACTTTAAAACACATTATTATTAATTTTTATTTATTTATTTTTTTTTTTTGCTATAAAACAGATTTTTTTTTTTAATAGTTTTTATTTATACGGGTCCTTTTTGAGCTTATTATTTTTAAATATAATAAGAGTAATAATTGTCCTTGTTTCATTTTTTTTTTTTACTAACCTCTTAGCACTTTTGTATTGTTGCACTGTTTGTCACTTTGGCAAACCTACGAATGTTCTGGACTTGTTGTTTTGAAGGAAAATTAACGCACAGACTGTTCAGTAATAAAATATATTCTTAGAAAGAAGAAAGGTTTATGAGCTCTTTCGGCTCCAAAAACCGATTGACAATGAGTCTGAACCAAATTTTCTTTTAGCTTTATATACGATTTTTTCCCAAAAGTGTTTTTGTTTTATATTATTTTAGTTGAATGTGTATTATCAGTAACAATTAACAGAGGCTGCGAATGATCCTTATCTAGAATTTAAATCTTTTTTAATATCTTGCGATTAAAAAATCTACGTAATCGTCGTAATCAATGCTAAAAGTTTTATGACACAACTTGACGTACTGATGTACTGTATAATAATACGACTTTATATATATATATATATATTTATATATGTAAACATATCTTTATACCAAACAAAGAAGGAGAAAAAATTGTTAATCTTGAAAAAGATTGTCACTTTATTTTCTCAGAAATATCTGATAAGTTTATTTCTTCAGCCTTTGTTGAAATTTGCCTTAACTTGTGTTACTTTCAAAATGAGTTAAAAAAAATTAAAATTAAGTAAATAATTTTGTTTGAAGCTCCATTTTGTGTTGTTTTTATTTACTTTAATTAAATGTCTACTGATATCTTTTATTATCAGTTTGACTTTTTAGCCCCTCGCTGATAATACAGGATAAATAATTCGCCCCTTGTGAGAATTATTTGCTTGCTTTGGACTTATTTACTTGAAGACCTTAACAATATACTTTACAGTATATTTTTTGATATTTAAAATTTAAACATTAAATTAAAAAAATATGTAAATAAATTTAATTTAAGTATATTTTTATATATAATTTTTAGGCATTAATTTATTTTTTTTAAATTATATGAAAATGTTTTAAACATAAATTTTTATATACATATATTTTGTTATTTCCTGAATATATAATTATACAGTATAGAAACGTTTTTTAAAGAAATATGGTTAAAAAACAATCAAAAAATCTTATCTTACAAACATTTTCGAATGATTTTTGTAAAAAAAAAAAATCAAAAGTTATATGATTCGTCTCCAATAAAATGATTTGCATTTATCTAAATACGATCATTTCCCTTTGACTAGCAGAGTTAAAAGGTATTCCCGCGAAAAGAAGAAAATAGTAAATTTTCATATACTATTATTATAACATATTTGAAGAAGGAATCATAAATATGTATTTATGACTTGACTCTACTCACTAGATGACAGAGTAGGCAGTGGATGATGTTCAGAAAAATAAAGTCTTTGCAACTCCCTTTGAGTACTAAACCATTGCAGAGTCCTTCAGACAGAGGTACTGGCAATTAAATAGTTAATAAAATGAATCCTGAGCAACAAAATTCTCGAAGTAAATACTGTAATCATTTTGGTAGGCAAAATTTACAGTCCGAGTATACCAGGCATCTCTCAATGAGTTGGCTTGGTTTGTCAGTTTCCAACTCATGCGGGTACCTGAATATTGAATAGTTTTAAAAGAACTGTTAGCTTGACGAGTTTGCAAAAAAGTAGGCATACTATTCTCTGAAATTAACTATCCGGATATTGGCATAATTTGATAATTTGGTCATCAAACAAACATAACTAGCCATGGGTAAAAAAACTTGTGTTTCATTTACAGATTATATGTCTTACTTTGTACAATTTAGACTGGCAACATACCAGTCAGTTATTTTAATTAAAACGAAACCTATTTAACACTAAATCATCAGTGTCAACTGGTTAAGATACATGCAATGAGATGCGAGACTCGTGACTACGGCTCTGCAGAAGAGGAAGAACTGTCTTTGTCGCAAATATAGCCCTACAAGGCAATCCGTAAGGCAGTACGCGCAGAGGACGAACTAAAACCACATGGAAATCGCTTTGCAAACAGACGATGGAAATTACTGGTAGATAGCTTGTGCCCAGTATAGGGCTTAAATAACAATAAATAATCGTAACGGACTATTGTTTGTGACCATAGGTATTCATGCCGCTAGTAGTACGTATGAAAATTTCTATGGCTCAAACAGTGTGACAGTGATGGGACGTGTGATCAAATATATAAAGACCCTTTTCTATTTTTTTGGAATAAGATACTGATTATAAAAATTTTCGGCATTTTTATTTTAAATTAATTATTTAAACATATTTATAAAGTTACAATATCAATGGGCCTGTTTACACTATCATGAACATGAACTTGAAAACCGGTTATTTATAGATGAGAGAGGGAAGAGAGTGTGATGTAAGTTGGGACGTGTGATCAAATATATAAAGACCCTTTTCTACTTTTTGGAATAAGATATTGATTATAAAAATGTTCGGCATTGTTATTTTAAAGTAATTAATTAAACATATTTATAAAATTACAATATCAATTGGACCTTTTTATTTTTTCGTTCTGTGTTTTTCATAGTGTTATAAATGAACAAAATATAAAATAGTGTAAAGTTGCATTTATAAAAAAAATTAATTGGAAATATCCACAATAAAGTTGGGTCGTCAAAAATGTACCATTTTTTTAACATGAGTACCAAACGAAAAAAAAAGTACCAATTTAGGTACTAAAATACCATAAGTGGCAACCGTGGCTGAATACTCTCTATTTCTCTCAATTTCTGTACTCTGCACTACTACACACAACCATTTTATACATTTACACAAAACAAAACAAATTTCACGCTCATGAGACTGTATGATAGTGTAAACTGAACTGATAATTCATGTTGTCGTCAAGTTCATCTTACGTTCATGATAGTGTAAATAGGCCCAAAAGTTTAGTTTTAATAATAACTAAAATACTTTTTTAGCTATAATATAATTATCCACAAAAAGCTGGAAAGTATTATAAAGATTTTAAAAATTCATTTTGTGTAAAGTAAAGTAATAACAAAATCAGTTATATTCCAACTACACGAAGAAGTCAAATATACATTAAAAAAAAACATTTTTTGTAACTAAATATTGAAACAAATTGGAAGTATTTACATAATATTTACATAGTATCTACATAATAAATTTATATCCTTATTTATGATTTTGTTTTAGAAAATAAACATCAATTAGATATTTATATTTTAATCAAGCCTGACGAAAAATTCCAACTAGTATCTACGAACTACACCATGTACAAGTATTAAAATAACATTCAGTAATTTAAATTTGTGAGTGTTTATTTATATATTTCAAATAATAAACAGAATGAGAATTATAATTTTTTATATTGGATTTATATTGGATTTATTCCGATTACATTGTCACATCTTCTAAACATAGAGAAAATTATAATTTTTTTTGGAATAAATGCATTGCAGAAGCTGGTTACTACAATTATTCCTTATAATGCACTACAGTATAATTGTGTAAGTTAAAAAAAATTAAGTTAGCTAATTTACAGTTTAATAATTAATTTTTTTTTTAATAATAAGTGATGATATATACTCGTGTCTTGCATTAAAAAAATACATTTTACGCATTTAACATATTTTACCATGTATACAGTTGTTTCGGTCTTATGTAAATATTATATAAAGAATTTTTAAATAAATATTTTATTTATTTTGTTTAGTCTTTCTGCATTAAAATACATTTATTATATAAATTTGTTTTTGTATGTATATATAACTTAAGTTCAAGTTTTGGCAAATAATATCTTTTATTGAAGCTTCATGCGCAATTGTGTTAATATTAAACTAAATGTGTATATAAAAATAATAACAAAATAAAAAATATTTATTTTATTTTAGCAATGTGTGAGGTGAAAATCTCAGAAGGTTTTAACCATTTAAATATAGACATAAGACAGATATTATTATTGTGCAGAGATCTTAGATATCTTATTTAAGTCGAAATATTATTATTTATTTTATAAGTCCTGAAATTTTAGATAAGATTGTTGTTTTATATTCACGTGATTATATGCAATGTAGTATATATAGTATTTATAACTTATAAGTGTATTATATTTATACAACTTTATGCTGTTTTCTTTTTCATATAAATTTAAATTTCTATTTTTACCTATTGATAAAAAAAGAATTAAATCCAATGCAACAATTATTATTTATTAATAAATAATATAAAAAATAAAAATCAATAAATAAATAAAATTTGTATATAGCATATTAGATATACGTTGTTTGTGAACACGCGAGTCCACGTTTTAAATTTGGCAGGACTTTTTTTTTCTAATATTTGAATTCAAAAAACTATGGATGGACAGATAAACCAATATGTTTTCGAAGACTACTTACGATGGATATTTGACTTTAATTAAAACAGCTGTAGGGCCAACCTAAGAGCTAAATTTATCCCCATTACACCCTATTCTATTGGAACTAGAATTGGATATAAAAATTTGTAATTATATATATAGTATATTATATTATATATAGGTATTATACTATATTAATTTTATTGCGACTTTATAACAACATCCATTATTATATTGTTTTTATAATGTTCTCTTCCATTTCATATTTGTAAGTTCCTTAAATAAATTGGACGTTTCTTCAGGAACTGCGCTTTTTCAAGCATACTTGGAAAGTCCTCTGCTGCTCTTGTGGGCTTCAAGAATATGCAGTGTATATCATTTTTGACACTAATTTGATAAATGGTCGTCAAACTCTTTACACTTTCAAAATAAGATATCTCTTACAATATCAGTTTGTTGAGTTATTTGGCATAAACTAACATTTGAAATAGTCCATGACAATGAGGTTTTCAAAAAGTGTTTTGGGCATCATGTGTTAACATGACACATAGGTTAAAGTGACGGTCTTGTGGATCAAAGCTCTTTTAAGCACAAATATTGGTCAGTTATGATACAAAGGACGAGTCATCAGTTGTAATACTAAGGTCAAGTCATCATTTGTACGCTAAACTTGAAGAATCAACATGAAGGTAGAAGTCCAAAGAATTACTAACGAAAGATGACACAGCAATTTTAAGAAGCCGCGACTAACGCAATCAAGTGTAAGGAAACTAAGCTGACAGGGTTATAAACTTGACTATATTTTGTAAAAATTAATTCCAAGTTGTAATGAACATGAGACGAGTTGCGCACCTGAACTTGTTTTTAGATTAAAGTATCATAGCGTTCCAAATTTTTTTAATGCGGCTAATGCTGACGAAGCGGCTAATGTATTATCGATTCTTCACATCGGCTCGTGTGTCTCA